ATAAAATAAAAATAAAAAATAAAAAATAAAAAAAAATTGTTTGGAGAAAATGTGCTTACATTTTTACGTTAAAACTTAACCGGCCGCGTTGCCACTAGCTTAAAAACTGAAAAGCTTCGAAAATAATTTGATATTTTTGATACACATTTTTTCAAGTTTCTGTACTGGAGTCCTTCTTAATGCATTTATGAGTGCTTTTTCGTCATATGTGTATGTATACTTTATATAAAAATGTGCTACTCACAACTAAAGCACTAAAATTTACCATACTTCGTACATATATAGCCAAATCAAAGCAATGAAAACTCAAAATCAAAAGAATCGGAAATTTCAAAAAGTTCTCCGTAACTGAGAAAATCATATTGTTCTAAAATAAAATATATTTGTTAATTACAATTTTATTTTAGTCATTAGAGTGGCCATTGTAGTTGCTGCACATATTAGAAGATTTTCCAGCAGTTCGATAACATTTTTGTAGTACAATCTTTCATTTACTTCAAAATATGTCAAAGTCTTGATGATTGCCTCTACATTGTCTCTAAATCCTTACCATCGATATTTTTCGTGAGATCCACGGTTGGGAAAAAGTCATTTGATATCTCGAGAATATATCGTGTAGGTGACATATAGGCCGATTATATTGACCACAAGTTGACCGAAGAGCGTTAAACACATTTTTTAAGTCTTAGTATATAGAAACATCGATATCAGGCAACTGCGCGGGCGCGAGTTTTAGTTTTTATTTTGATTACTTTGATTGGTCATCTGCGCTGACAGTTCCCTAGCTTGAATTCCCAATAACATCTATCTTGGGTTATGACCAATTTGTAGCTTATTTCGGCTATGAATAAAAAAATTATTTCAACAGGGTTTAGAAAAAATTTTTTTTTTTGGTTTTTTTTTTTTTTTTTGATTTATAAAATTTTTAATCTGGTCTTTTGTGAATATTACTAAAAACTTCTTGAATAAAATTAATTTAGCACAGGTTTTATTGAATTTATCTTATGATTGAGGAGATATAAACCAAAAATTTAACTGCAACTGCCTAACTAACTTTTTTTCTTCTTTTATCTGAAGTACCACCTCCTCTGCGCATCGTTATGACCGACGTGCATTTAAATTTTGTGTGTCATGACTCATCTCCGCTTGGTATATCTACGATGTAGTTTTATGTTGTTTATACATATGAGATATTTTAAAAGCACAACGATTTCATAACAAAGTGATCCAGCAACTTGCCACAAAAATGTGGAAGAAGGGAAATGGGGAAAACCCGACACATTTAAATGTTTTCGCTCTTATTACCGCTTTTACGAGTGTTGTTGTGCCATTTTTGTTTACCAACATAAAGTTTTCAAGCGGATACTGCAAATTGCTGTAAATATTTATATAAGCGTATATATGTATGTGTGTCTACATGGCCATGTTGAAACCTACAAATCTACATTTCCTCGCAACTAAGTAATTTAATGATGTGTTGGTTTTGTTGTAATTGCAATGTGTACATTTCGATTGGAAGATGTGCAGCTGTCGTCGGCCATTTAAGCTTGTAAATATTTTTATTATTTTTTTATTAATTAGGTTGCAATGATATATTCGTTTTCGTTTTGCTACAACTTCTCTTTGACTCTTAATTGAAAACAAAAGTAGAGCAGACAGTGAGAGCAGTGCTGTAAGACTAAAATTTATTGTAGATGTACCATATGTTTATATAGAAGAGGTGTTGGTCGATTCTTTCTTCTTTTATAAATATTTTTTCTGTGCTATTCAAAATGTTTACTAATACTACTAAATATTTCTGCCCAAGATCATGCCCTTTATTCCTGCTTTATATTTTTTCCATATATGTATATTATAAGCTTGCTCTGGAATCATAGTCATCTTTCGACAACCTCATCTCAAAACAAATAAACAAAAAAAAAAAAAAAAAATAAAAAAATAATAAAAATAAAAAATTAAAAAAAAAAATTTAAAAAATAAAATAAAAATACGTTGATTATATTACTCTTCATATATAAAACAAGATTTTCGTACCAAAATTTAATTATTATCGGCCAGTTTGTATGGCAGCCACATGCTATAATGGTCCAAATTTAAAAAAAAAATCGGAAATTGCACCGTTGCCTTAGAAAATAGCCCACTTAAGATTTCGTTTAAATATCTTGTCAAATAAAAAAAGTTTTCCATACAAGGATTTTGTTTTGATCGTTCACTTTGTAGGTCAGCTCTATGATATACTAGTGCGATTTGAAAAATTTTCACAGAAATTGTACCGTTTGCTTCAGAAAATAGTCCATGCTATATTTCGAGGAAATATGTCGTCAAATAAAAATGTTTTCCATACAAGAACATTACTTTTATCAAAGAGTTTGTCCGGCAAACTACATGCTATAGTAGTCCGATTTGAAATTTTTTTCCGGAGATTGCATCATTGTCTTAGGAAATAACCCATGTGAGATTTCAGGGAAATATCTCATCAAATATAAAAGTTTCTCCCGCAAGAACTTTATTTTGATCGTTCAACTTGTAGGGCAGCCATTTGCTATTGTAGTCCAATCTCAAAAATTTATTCAGAGATTTTACCTTTGGCTGAGAAAATAATYGATGTGAGATTTCGGGAAGATATCCTATCAAATAAAAAAGTTCTTCATAGAACAACTTTTTTTTGATCGCTCAGTTTATATGAGACCTATATGAAATAGTCGTCCGATCTAAACAATTTCTTTGGAGATTGTAACGTTGCCTTGGATAATATTTCAAGCCAAATTTTGAGAAAATAGTTTTCCATACGAAAACTTTATTTTTATCGAACAGTTTAAATGGCATACATTCGACGACTTCAACAAATAAACCACCTTTTACGGAGAAAAGGTGATGTGCAAAATTGCATTTGAATATCTTTAAAACTGAGGGCCAATTCGAATCTTAGCAATAAACTTATTATAATTTTTCCTCCAAAAACATAAATTTTTTGAGCATTTGAATTAAAAAAAATAAATAAATAAATACCAACATTTATCATAAGTAATATAAACTTTTTATTTGCAATTAAATTAACCACAATTTTCAATAGTATATTTTTTAATGTATGCGTATTTTTGCTTGGTGAGAATAAATATGATAAAATGTTATGACATTGCTTGAAAAATATTTTATAATTGCTAACTAAATTAATTTCTTAAAATATTAATAAAAAAATGATAATTAATATACAACACTAAAAGATAAGTACCTCTTGACTAATATTAAAAMAAAAAAAAATTATATTACGCTAACTCACATTTATTTAACTTTCAACACAATAACGCTGAATGCCTTCCAATAAAATTTCGCTAAGTCTCTATATAAAATATTTTTACTGAAGTTTCCGTGCAGTTGCGTCGCTCAGGCATGTCGCACAATCATTTCCTGTATCCATTTAGCAGTCATTTGTATATTGTGGTAAATGCCCGGCTGATGATCGACGCCGCAACCAAAACCGGCGCTAGTGATGCCAACCAATATGAAGCGGCCGCGTTCTTTAATAATCAGCGGGCCGCCAGAGTCACCTGAGAGACAGAATAAAAAAGTGTTGGTAAACATTGCAAAGAAAAATAGCCTAAAATTATGCAATTTAATCACGTAAGTTCACTTAAAATTAAATGTTGTCATTAACAGAAATTTTAAATACTTAACAGTGGCTTGAAAATTGGCTAAACCACGTTTTTTTTCATCTAAAGGTTTAATTTATTGATGTAAATGTAAATACTAATAATTTCATGGCGATATGTGATGGAGGAGTACTTTGTTGGTAACACTATTTTTTATACCTTTTTCTACTTTAATTCCAACGCTCATCTACTGTCCAAGAAATTCTTACAAGAAAATCAACCTTTAATTGCAACTGTCAGCAAATAGAGAATATTGTGCTGGTTTTGCATCAGTTATTAGAAATTTCTATACTCCTATTATGTATGGCGACTATAACCATGCCCATTAGGGTGGATCGATTCCGGACTTTTTTCGATTCGGGATTTCTAATAGTGCGGAAAATTGACTTAGTACTTCCGGATATATGCAAAACACAGGACATTTCTGTCTAAATTTAAATTTAGATAGACATTTTGAGTTCTGTATTCTGTTGAGAGAATATAAGTGATAGCACTCGGGTTCGTCCTACGGCCATGATCAAATACCATTTCGGTAGCAAATGACGTGACAAATAAATTTTGTTTTATACATTTTGCCATGAGATGCGTATTTCAGGCGCTAGGTAGACAATTTCACGATTTTAGGCGAATTTCCGAAATTCCAAGGCCGGAGTTGGGGTTGAAGATGCAATCCGATCGCAAAACAAAAAGTTGCATTGGAATCAGGAAGTATTAAGCCAACTTTTCCGCACTATTAGAAATCCTGAATCGAAAGAAGTCCGGAATCGACCCTCCTTAAATGCCCATCGTATATCGATACATTATGCATAGCAACCGGCTTCTGATCATGAGTAATTTAGTAAGTGGTCGCTATTTTCAGTATATTGTGTATTACTATCAACACTTGTTGTATTATTATAACAGATTTGTCAATAAGACCGTGTTTTTTTGCTTGGCCAACATGGGTACGCTTGCAAAAGTCCATATGTTTTTATATTCATAATTTCTACCAACTCTTCTCAGTCGTTTTTTGTATTTTTTTAGTGGATTCCCACTTACCCAAACATGCATCCTGATGCCCGTCCGAGTGTCCCGCACAAAACATTTCACTATAAAGTTCCACATTGATACGCTTACTCTCGTGCCAGCGTATGCAATCGAAGGTTGCTGAGGCAAAAAATATGTAAATATAGAATTTTTTGCTATAAAAGTTAGTTCGTAGTGACTTACTGATGATTGGCACAGTTGCCACTTGCAACATATTAGTGCCCGTGTGACCCATGCTGGCCTCTGTTTTGCCCCAACCGGCGATCAAGCCCTTACGGCCGATTAAAGTGATGGGAAACTGTGGCAAGCAGATAGGAAGAATATGATCGCTGAAAATTAGAAAATAATATAAATTAATATTTGTTTTGAATGTTTCTACGAAATACTCCGGCATATATTCCCTAAAAATCATCACCTACCTAAACCCCGTCGGTTTGGCGAGCTTGAGTAGCGCCACATCGAAGCGATCCGGCTGCGTCATGCGAAACTGAAAACGCGGATGCACAATCTTCTGTATGACTTTATGCTTCTCCACCGGCAACGGTTCATGTATATGCCCCAAATTCTGTGTATCCAATTCACCTAGAAAGACAGATATATCCGGCAGACGCGCTTGTTGGATGCAATGTGCCGCCGTCGCGACAATATTGCGCGAGACCAAGACACCGCCACACTGAAACTCCGCTATGCGTATATGCGCTTGCCAAGGATATTCGGCGAAATTCGCCGTCCTGCCGCCGATGATGCGCTTCTGTAGTGTACGTTGTGCGGCGCGTGGCAAACCGCATTCGGGCTGCAAGTGAAGGCGTTAAAGCAAAATGAGAGCAAACCTTCAACCAACCAACCTTCAGGAACACRTCATTCTCATTGCGTCGCTTCAGCATTACGCGCTTGGGCAGCACACCACCGCCACCACCACTGCTACTAACACCTGTGCCACTGGATCCACTAGCCGCCAGGCGCTTGTAATCGTTGAGCGTGTTGCCTACGAGATTGCCAGTTGGTGTTTGATCGTTGTTTCCATGGTAGAGGCCATACTGTACCGCTACTGCTGCATTGACCACATTGTTCGCCGTATTGGTGTTGCCACTACCGCCGATGCAGCAGGAAAATAACCATTTGTTGGCGCCACAGCCTTTTGCATGGCGACCGCCTTGCAGCCAACAGGAGAAAGACAGTTTACACGGCCACACGCTGTTCTGATGCACACACTCGCTGGGAACTCCTAAGATGGTGTTTAAAATACCTAAAAATTATATGAATTTTGGTTATATTTTCTCCAATATTGTGGTGGCATAGCAAGCAAAACAGTCTTTACATGCAGTGGGTTGCAACTTTCCCCGGAAAATGCTTTGCTTCTTTAGACATAATATATAATATAATACTTCAAGGTTTCACTGCTACTTGTATTTTGAAGAAACAGAAATTACTTCTGTTGGAAGTTTTTTCCTATTTCCAGAGCTTTATCTATCTTTTTGTTGAGCCTTTTCAATCGAATAGAGCTGTTCTATAGCTGTATTAGAGCGAATCTGACATCTATAGATTAGTTTAGGTTAGATGGCTGACCAAAGATCGCACCCGGACTAATATATGTAATCCTTTGTGATGCCGTAGAAAAGAAGAACTCCTGTGTTTGAACTATAAATTAGCAAAACGCTTAGACGCCAATACAAATTTGCATGGATGTTCGAAGATATGCGCTCCCAAGTATATAAGTCTTGACCTCCCAAATGCGGGATAGTCAAGAAGTGAATGTTGAGTTGTTTCCACCTCATTTTATTCCATACCGCTTCTACAGAAGGCGTCTGAAAGGATTCTGAGCCTTACTACGTAAACGCCAAGAGGGCAATGGCTTGTTAAAAGTCTCACGACTAGAGAGAGACTAGCCTTACTGAGGGATGATAGCGATGTTAGACACTCTTCGACCAGCCATGAATGCACCGTTAATGAATTTAAGGTTAGTATCGCCGCTGTGCTATCTTACTTCCATAAAAAATTGTCATTTTGTAATTCCCAGAATTTGGATTTTAAGTGGAGCTTATTCAGAAAAACCTTCTCAGTGCGTTATATATTTAAGCTAGACCAAAATTGTTATTACTTATCATCTCCTACTAGCTGTGGTTACTGTCCTATCATTACATTTATTTCTGCTGTACGAGGTGTGTTCAAAAAGTATCGCGAATTTTGTGTTTTTTTCAAAAAATATTTACTTATTCATGAATATCTATTTTGTCCTCTTCAAAGTAATCCCCATGAGATATTATACACTTGTGCCAACGGTTTTTCCGATCTTTGAAGCACTTCAAAAAACCATTTTTTTTATCTTCTTCAGCTCCTCCTTCGATGCCGTYTTTATCTCGTCAAGAGAAGCGTAACGTCGTCCTTTCATGGGCCTCTTCAGTTTAGGAAACAAGAAAAAGTCAGAGGGGGTCAGATCTGGGGAATACGGTGGCTGCGGCATCATTAGTGTGTTGTTTTTGGCCAAAAAGTCGCGCCCAAACAACGATGTGTGAGCAGGGGCGTTATCGTGGTGCAAAAGCCAATTTTTGTCACATCTTCTCGGCCTTTTGAGAACATTTTGTACCACCGATAAACGTTGTTTCGGTCCAAGGTAGCTCCTCCGTATGCCACAGTCAATATCCGGTATGCATCCGCGCACTTAATTTCGTTTTTCACACAAAATTTGATACAGGTTCTTTGAATAATTTTTTTGAATAGGTAAAAATCGAAGACGATCCAAACACGTGCAGCAAAGCAGCTGTCTACAATTAAATGAACATTCAAAATGGCCGAGCTTGTCGGCATAAGTGAGAGACATGAGTACCAACATAACGCCAAAAAAATTCGAAATTCGAATATATGTAACCCGCGAACATTCAAAATTCGCGATACTTTTTGAACACACCTCGTATCTCCTGAAATGTATTATTATTATAGGATTTGGTATAATACACAAGACATATTTTAGAATCGTTCATCAATATAGTAGCTCCTGTCTCTTATACACATCTAGATGTGTATAAGAGACAGTACGTAACCCGCGAAAATTCAAAATTCGCGATACTTTTTGAACACACCTCGTATCTCCTGAAATGTATTATTATTATAGGATTTGGTATAATACACAAGACATATTTTAGAATCGTTCATCAATATAGCGGCTCAGGAATCACACTTGTTATCTTTTTGTAATATCCCCTAAAAAAAAAAAAAGAAACCAAGTTGAAGAGGATATATGCAACTTAACTCTGGTCTTTCTAATTTTTTGTTATGTAACGAGTAATAACGAATAATTATTTAAGTACTTAGAAAATATCGTATCGAACAAACAACTGGTACAAAGCACTGGCATAAATGAAACAGCAATTGAACAGCGAATAGTTATATTCCCTTCGTCACCTAACTTCTTGCTCTCTTTTATTTATTTTATTTTTTCTTTAGTGTTGTAGAATTCAAGTTTTGCGCGGATATGTCTGATAATCAGAAAACTCTTTCGAATAGGGTCTGGTAAACCTGCAGCCACTTACTGCTTGATAAACTCACGTCTGCTGCGAAGTAGAAGCTAAAAAGCGTTTTTTTGATATTGACAGGAAAAAAGAGCTGTTTTGCGGTAGTAGGCGCGTCTGCACACCAAATACAAATTATTCTTAAAAAACTCGATTAAAATTTATGCTCGATAACCCACTAACTTCTGAAGCTAATGGAAGTTTTCTAACTGAATAATTCTACCATATGCCATCTCGTTCTATTGGATCTCTACATAAAATATAAAAATGTTCACCAATTTTAACACAAATTTATTTATTATATAATATGTTCCATACACGTGCTGTAAGCTTTGCTTTGAATGGCATTCCATGTTTCAGCAATTTTTTTGTTTTTCAGTGTCGGATCATTTTTGAAGCGTCATTCGTCATTAATAGATAATTTCGACGTCATATTCAGAAACCCATGATTCGTCACCAGTAATAAAGTATTTGATGAATACAAGGAACGTTCCGTACGTACGTGAGTAAACAGAACTTTTTGAATCTAGCGCCCCCCTGGTGACGCTATCTATATGTTGACTGGTGCGTTAGAATCTGCTATCTTTATCGATTGTCAGTGAGAATTTCATGAAATTTCATTGATTGGAAGTGAAGCTATTGTCAATATGTTTATGTTATCGGTGCGAAATTGGTAAAACTTTTAATTAATGAAACTTTAGCAGAGTGCACGAGTGGTTTCAACGTTTTCAAAGTGGTCGCGAGGACAAAAATAACGTGACCTTAGTGCCTATCGAATCGAATAAGTAAACGATATAAATCATATTAACGGGCATAACCCAATCGAGAAGGAGTATTAAATAGTTAAGCAATTTTATCGCACACCTCTTTAACATATAAAATACTTGACATGAGAGCACAGTTCAAGTAAAGAGGAATCTCTCCCAAAACAATGTGTTTGAAATTTAAGGATTGTTGATTACTTGCTGTGATATTGGATTTGACCTCTACCGAGAATATAGGAAAATTGGTGCAAATACTGATGGTTGCATAGATCAATTGACGTCTGCGGGTACAAGAAAGTATAGGTACTACTAGTACAGTAATGCTTTACATTAAGACTATTCGGAAGTACGTTGAACTTTTTACATTGGTTCTTAAAGTGAAAAAGTGGTTTCTAAACTAAATAAATAATATTTTTTATCTGGCAATAATTTTTAAACACATTATGCTTACTGCAGCTCATCAATCACTATTTATATAAGTTTCGGTAGTCATGTGGCTTGACTCCCATTACTTTCAGTCATATTAGGCGACTAATGCAAATATACGATTTTTCCATATTTTCACCTTGAATACTTTTGCAATTTACTTAACCCTCAGAAAGCTCAGTTATTACACGCAAATAATATTAATTTACTTACCCGCATCAACTAGAGTGATGACTGCGCAGAGATTCCAACATTGGCCGATGATGAGTAGCGACCATATATTCCATAAGTGCATGGCGTGCTAACGATTTCGCTTGCATGTGTGCGTATTTCTAATATAAACGTATGTGTGTGCGTGTGTGTATGCGTTGTAAACACACTGAACATACGCGAACCCACATAAATGCTCAACACGAAATGATAGACTGCGACATGTTCATTCAAATTGATGGCGCTACCAAAAGCAATTAAAATGGAATGATCTGCAAAAACAACAAATACATATGTAAGCGCGTGTCGGTATGTGTGTGCCATGAGCAATCAGGAAATGCAATGTAGAAAAAGTAGAAAAATTAGAGAGAATGACGGTGTCGTAAAAGACTGTGGGAAATTAAGAGTAAAGAAGCCATAGGAAGTGTACACAGACAGACACTTTTACAGAGATATGAACAGACAGGTGTGCTTGTAAGTGATATGCATACATAGTTATATATAGTGTATAAACAAAAATAACACAAACAAAATTGTCGCACTCCATCAATTATAGCCGCGCACATTGCTTGTGCCAATGAAAGCATGACCAGTTGGTGTTATCATTTTTCATACCCTGAACAAGGTGACTTGTATAAATTTTATCACGAAATTCCACATTGAACGAAATGTTGGATACCTTATCAAATATATATAATTCTCTGAAAGATCACCATGACGAGCTGCGTCGATTTAACACTGTATATACGAGAAATAGTTGCTCAACGTTTGAGATATCGATCTGAAATTCGCCACACATATTTTTCTTCCCAAAACGCTGATAGTACTTCAGGACCACCGATATCGGACCACCATAGCATATAACTGCCATACAAACCGACCGATGAAAATCAAAGCCTTGCATGAACATTTTTTTGTTTTTTGTTTGACAAAATATATTCATGAAATTTTGCCGTGATAATTGCCCAAAGCAGTAGTGCAATCTTCGAAGAAATTGTTCAGTTCGAATCACCATACCATATAGCTGCAATGCGAACTGATCGATTGGAATAAACTGCTTCTACAGAAAACTTTTTATTTTTACAAGATATCTTCGCGAAATTTGCATTAAGTTATTGCCTAAAATAATTGTGCAATCTCCGCAGAAATTGGTCAGTATGAGTCCCTATGGTATACAGCCACCATACAAAATGTCCCAAAAAAGTTCTGGCATGGCACCTTTTGTACTCGGGAAAAGTATTCTATTTTCGGGTTTTTGATGTTTTTTTGTTTACTATCTTCTGGTATTTTGTTGTTATTCTCGCCTGCCCATATTTGTTCGCATTCATTGTGTCGCTTTGCGCTTCACTTGTATAAACATAAAGAATAACATATGTATGTATGTCAGTGTGTGTGTGTGAACTCGTTCACTGCTGTTATTATTATTGTTTTGTTTGGCAACAAATATGTTGTCGTCGTTGTCTGCTATCAGCTGCTCGCTGACTTGACAACTGAAAGCTCTTGTTATTGTCGTTGTTTTTGTTGTATTCATTGGCGCACTGTACGCACTTTTGTAGCGAGAAAACACCTTCTTTGCTCTAGATTTTCCCATCTTGTTTTGTCATTTTAATTTTTTTGTTATTTTCAGTTTTAGTGTTATTTGCAGTTTTTGCCGCTTTTGTTGTGATGTTGTATGTAGATGTACAGACGTGTTCGAAATAATAAGAACAACCAAAGTGAATATCGAAATCATTGAATAAAATTTTCTCAGTAATATTTTATTGAACCTTTTTTTCTTAAAAAATTTATACATATTGTGAGTATTAAAAAAATTGAAAATCTGGTCATCAAATACGCACTNTGTTAGTTTAAATAATGTACGTAAACTTTATTGATACGAATTAAGCTCATTTTAAGTTTTTGTACCTGTATTTTTTTCATTTGTGTAAAAATAAAAATTTTGATAAGCCAATATATATGCTAAATATACATATTTTGAAATAGATAAAAAAAAACGACAATAAACCTTAGTTTTAAAACCAAAAAATGTGTTGTAATTTAATAAAACTAGGTGTATGTAAATTTTATTGGTCCACTGTATATACATATGTATATTCGAGCTTTAATATATTCACGACCATAATTTTAGGAAGCTAAAATGGTTCGAAACTCGTTTCGAATATAAATTTTACGTGTTTAAAGTCACAGTTTTGATATCTCATTATTGTTATCATTGCTCGACTTTTATTTAAGAGACATTAAGTAATCAAATTAGTTTCTATGAAATGAAGCATCCTAAATAATACTTAGGAACCACTGTTAGTATTTCTTTACGTCGAATTTTTCTTTCGAACACCACTTCAGCGAGTATTATCTGAGAACTATCTCGTTTCTTCTATTAGATAAATATTTTACAAGAAACCCTAATCCAATGAATCAGAAATATCATTCATATCGAAGCCGATAAGCAGAATGTTTTGGAATGAATGGTAAGGTGTGATGTTCACTTTTGAATTTCAAAAAGTCGGGTGTTGTTTGTATATAACGGGTGATCCATATGTACTTTTTTCAATAGTTTATTTTTGGAACGTTGTTCGAACAACCTTTACAAATCATTGAACTTTATTCCGAAAATTCACGTTCTGTAAAGAATGTGTTTCGCGCGAGTTATAATATTGAATAAATCAAACACGATTTTACATTTTACCAATATACACTATGCGACAAAACTATGTATAGCCCATGAAAGTTGAAAAGAAAATTATCATATCTTTTGAAAAGTGAAGTTTATTTTTTTGCACGGTTTTTGTTTTTGCTTATGAGTATACTACATACAAAAAATTAAATAAATTTTCTGCATTTTAGTGCTAGTGACTGCAAAATACGCAGTAATCTGAAAAAAAGAAATTCTTAGCAACGACAAAAGTATGTATATCCGAATACATTTTGAGGTTACCTTCACACTAGAGCTTCAATATTTAGTGTTGCCACCCTTAGCATTAATTACTGCCAATAAACGTCGCGGCATGCTGTCAACCAAGTTTTTAAGAAGTGATCGAGGTATATTTTCCTAGGAGTATTTCAATTTATTAAAAATCTCGACTTTATTTGAGCGGCAAGAATATCGGTCAAGTTTGTCATCCAAATATTGCCATATGTGCTCAATGGGGTTTAAGTCGGGGCTTTGATCAGGCCATGGTAGGAGTTCTATCGATTTTTGTTCGAAGTATTCTTTTGCAACCCGACTTGTATGTTTGGGGCCGTTGTCCTGCTGGTATATGAAGTTATCCTGTATGCCCATTTTTTGCGTAGCTGGCTCCAAATTGGTACTTAACATTTGAGCATAAGACTCTCATTTTACCTTCGATTATTACGAGATTTGAGAGACCACTGCAGCTAAAACAACCTAAATCAATACATCTCCGCCTTTAACTTTATGGTCATTTGAATGCATTTACTCTAAAGCTTCTCGTGGCTCTTTCGCCAAACTTTTTGCCGTTCTTTAGTATTTTTAAATTCAAATTTGCTTTCACCACTCTAAATTACTTTTTTCCAAAAATTTGGTGGCAGTTTCTAATACTTTTTGCAAACTCCAATCGTGCCTTTAAATTTTTCTTGCTGATAAACGGTTTTTTAATCTTGCAGTGGCTTGAATACCCGTCTTCTCGGGTCTCGTCGGAAACATCTATGTATTTGAAGGCTCTGTAGAATAAATTTGGCTGATACAGTCGGATCTTTTTTCACTTCTCTGATTATTTTTGTCTCTTCGCGCACTATAGTTACTCTAGGGCGGCCTGATCTTGAAGCACTCGCCAGCCCACCATTTTTTTTGGTGATTTTTTATCACTTTTTGGATTGTGGCCTTGCTTTTAGAATATTTGTTTACAATTTTTCCGTATCCCATTCCATCTAAATGATCATGAAAATCAATTTTCGCAGGTCAACGCTTATTTCTGCAGATCTTGGCATTTCACTAAATAAAATCTTTATATTATTTACCCAAACACTTTTATCGAGTATAAAATCACGAAATTTTAYCTTTGTCGAGTTTATTTCTAAATATTYGYAAAAACTATTTACWCAAAGAAGCACTACGCACAAATAYTRCCACGGTATACATAATTTTGTCGCCTGCAAAGTTCAACTGATCATCAACAAGTGCACATTCTGCAAGCAAAATAAAAGTTAACGGTAAATATCATACCGTTATTATTTGTCAACTTACAGTGTGCACTTACCGTATGTACAAATTTTTAATTGTTGAACTTTTGAAAAAAATATTCCATGAACAATATAAAATGTGCTGGGGTATACATAGTTTTGTCGCATACTGTATATATTAAGAATTTCCAAAATTGGAACAGTATTATCCAATTTAGGTCTTCCTCCTATGAGGAATATGAGTAATGAATAAGAATAGAAATATACAAACGTAAATAAATTAAAAAATGAGAGTATTTAGTTCTAGAGGGTATTATGAAGTTATATTAAAGAAATTAATGACTTGAAAGGAGTGATAAAAGTTAGGTACAAAAAGTAATGTAAAAATTAATAGGGTGAATATTACAGTATGTAACTCACGCTTCACCCAAATTATGATCAACATAATCGACTTATTGAGAGACGTATTCGCTACACAATCACACATCTGGAGACTCAGCACTCACAGTTGGATTATATTGGACCGAATATAGCTCGTGCAAGAACTGAAGCCGCTCGCTCTTTCGAGCCAAATTTTGATCAGCGATGAGGCACATTTCTAGTTCAAACGGGTACGTAAACAAATTTGCCGCATTTAGGACAAATAGCAACTTGAAGAGATTCAAGAACTGGCATTTTAATCAGAAAAAACAACGGTTTGATATGGTTTTTGGAAGGTGGAATCATCGGTAGACGGTGAGCAGAAAATTTCACGTTCTGAGCCGATCGATTGGCCACCACGATCGTGTGATATCATGCCGTTAGAGTTTTTTCTGTGGAGATATGTAAAGTCTACAGCCTATGCGGACAATCCCTCTTCGATTTAGGTCTTGAAGGAAAACATCACAAGTGTCATTAGCCAGTCGAAATGGCTCGAATGAGTCAGCGAAAATTGAATTCAATGGACAGACCATCTGAGACTAAGCCATGGCCAACAGTTGAAAGAGATGATCTGCAAAAAATAAATGCCAAAGAATATTCTTTTGAATAATAATGAACATTCCCCATTGAATTGGAAATTTCTGTGTTCTCTCGAAACGGTGTTTTCAAAGTCAATGAGAAAAAATTATCCGAAAAGCTAAACCGATCAACTTGAAATTTGAATCTGACCTTCGTAGATGTATTTGTCAGGCAATGATAAAATGAAAAAGGTTTTAGGTAATATTTTTAGTTTTTTATGTTACTTTGAAATCTTTTTCAGAATAACTCAATATTTTTTTGAAAATGGCTACTATCTGAGAATCAAAATTTTGACTCGTCCTTTAATTTATAGGTTCGAATATTAATTTCTTGGTGCTAGAGTTATTAACAAGTGCATGAGTACTAACTTACAGCCGGCGAAAAATACAGCTAAATGAGAATTATATGAAAAAACAAGAAAGAAAGTTAACTTAAGTTGCATAGAGGCTTTAGTAATACCCTTTACAAATATAAAAGATTCCTTGGAAGTATATTAATCCGGCAATAGTTATCCAAACTGAATAAGATAATAAACCATACCATATTTCGTGAAGATATCTCGTCAAATGGGAAAGTTTCCCATATATAATCTTAATTCATTTTGTTTAATTTTCCGATATTGGCGTTAGCGACAAACGAGCAGTTAAAAGACTAATTCTCGTACAAGCAGACTTGCGGACATACAGACATACTGGCATGACTTAATCGACTCAGCTTGTCACGCTATTCATATTTGCATATTTATTTTATAGGATCTCCGATGTTCCCTGCTGCGTGTTACATACATCGCAAACGACTTAATATACGCTGTTCAGGGTATAAATAATGAAAGTTAAACATACATTGTCGTATCTAATTACCCAGAACGATTAACTTCTCACTAATGTCAATATCGTGCTCACATATTAACAATTAATTAAGATGCATCACTTACAGCTACTCGATGCAATTAGTGGTTTTCACAAGACGCCAGTATAAAAGAGCCTCTCAACACCGAAGTAAATATAGTATTACTAAGCTTTTCTAACGGGATTTCTATTTACTTCTGATTTCTAAGATGTGCAACAAAATCTGCTTTATTTTACTAATAACTTTTTCATACTTAACGGCTATGGTGATAGCACGACCGCAGCGTTCGGGTGAGTGTATGACTATATATCAATCTGCGTCGATTTATATAAACATTTATATAATTTAAGGCACTTCATGTGGCCCAAATGCACAATTTACCACTTGCGGCATTGCTTGCCCGGCTAAGTGCAGCGATAATCCCCTGTTGGGCATAATTTGCTCGGCACAGTGCGTCGTCGGCTGCCAGTGCAATTTCGGATATCTGCTGAACGATGCTGGCGCTTGTGTGACGAGAAGTCAATGTTAACCGAAATTTCGCTTTTTTAATTATGCGAAATTTTTGTTAAAAAAAAGCTATATTCATGATTTATAATACTTTCTTAAAGAGATTGCATACGACTTCATATTTCAAATAAAGTAATGAAAATCGAATTAAGTTGCCGAAGTCAACTTAAAATTGAAACGAGATGAGCACCGATCCCGATTTTCATAAGAAAGTTTTGTTCAGTTTACTTTTGGTTGAAGGGATCCTTTAATAAACAAAATTGTCGATTCAGGAGCAATGTGAATCAACAAGGCATTGTTGAGAAGCCATTATATCCTGCAATCACAACTTCGTGTGATCTGTGGACAGAAGGAATCATTAGTTCATATTTCTTAAAAAAGAAGGCCGGTCAATGGGAAACACTTAGCTCTATCATGATTAATGAATTACTTGTCTGATGTTGCGTGTTGGATGTTGTTGCGGAAGACTATTTTTTCCAACAAGACCGCGTTTGTAAGGTGATATTCGAAAAAAAAAGGGATTTCGATAATAATCTGGACTTTTAAGCCACTCAAAGTGTAATTGTTTTAGGGGAAAATAGACTGTTCTTGAGAAGTCTCCATTTTTATTAAAAATCAAATTTTCGCTAGTCTTTCGGTCATTACTTGTACTCATCTATAGTTATAATAATTCTCTTTTTATTTTTCAATATAAAATAATTTTACGCTCAAATCTTTCTTATACCAAAACATCATTTTCCGAGGACCTCTCAGAGAACGACATATGAAAATTTCTGTAAATGAATTATTGACTACCGCAGCGTTCAGGCGATTATCATTGACTACTGAAATATATTCAAATACTATATACTTAAATCTGCATATTTTATTTATTTATTTAACCACAAAAATCGTGAATATGACATTCAGGTTTCTGAGAGACAGTGGTTCTTCGGACTCTTTCCAAATATTTTGTGTGTGTATTAACATTATTGATTCCATGATAATAACTTCTTTGGGAAAAGTTTCAGCAAGAGATTACCTTTCAATGGTAAAAATCGTTAGGCAAAAATATTCACATTTTTAGCAATTCGCTGATACTCGCTTACTAAGCAACAAATTTTGTCTACGTATTGTGAGAAGGCTCATATCAAGGGAATTGGTGTGTGTAAAATGAGATGCTTGCTTTTTTAGTCGTCTACTAGGCTTGGAAAACTCCACAATAATTCCAATTAGCTCTAGATATTTGACTCGAACATGTTTTTAGAAGCATATATACGAGGTGTGTTCCAAAAGTATAGCGAATTTTGTGTTTTTTTTTCAAAAATTATTTATTTATTCATAAATATCTATTTTGTCCCCTTCAAAGTAATTCCCATGAGATATTATACACTTGTGCCAACGGTTTTTCCGATCTTCGAAGCACTTCAAAAAATGATTTTTTTTTTATCTCCTTCAGCTTCTCCTTCGATGCCGTCTTTATCTCGTCAAGAGAAGCGTAACGTCGTTCTTTCATGGGCCTCTTCAGTTTAGGGAACAAGAATAATCTCCCTCTTATAATGGTTTGTCTGCATGTCAAAAATGGGTTGACTTCCCTTAGCCCCCTTATACTTAATATACAGATTTTCGAACTTCGAGGTGACTTTGTATCGCATATATCCTCCAACTTGTGAGTTATCTCACTGGGAATTTTAATCTCTGTGTGCTTAAAATAAATATATTTTACAGTTGGCATTACTCTATATGATTGGTTTTAGACTTTGTACTATTTCCTTGACGTTGATTCTTGCAAGTTACAAGAACACAAAATGTTCGTTTGCTCGCGAACTTAGCTTTTGCTTACTTGTTTTAATATAACATCTCTTTAAAAAAAATTCTCTAAAGTTAATCGAGTTTCTGAGACACGGAAGATTTTGGAACAGTTTCCAAATACTTTGTGGCACTTCAAACTAAACTTCCGCAGAAGTAACAAAAATGACAAACCAGCAAAAATCGTTAGAGGATAATTTTTCCAATTTTAGAAATTAGCTGACAAATCTTACTAAGTACCAAGTTCGTATACGTGTGTGAAGATCTTAGTGATTTGGTATGTTTATATAAATTAAGATATTAGTTCGTATTTTCAGCTTTCAGCAAATTAAAAATTCTAAGCTTAAATAATTATAGTTATCGAAGTCGTTAAGCGAGAGTATATTTGAAAAAAAACAAAAAGCTAGTCTAACCAGATGTCTACTACACCTAAAAGCATGTGATAAAATAATTATCTACACTATACCCAACTTAATTATATTCCAAACTAGCAGCCATACCGGTCAATGAGCTAAAACACTCGTTCGACATGCTTTTGGACGTGCAAACAGCTGTATTGACGCAAAACGAGACTATTTTGAATAAAATTAATTGATTTTGACGAAAAAACATTTTTCTGTTTTTGTTCTTAAAGTCCTGTTTACTTTGAAAATCTCCTTGTATAATGCGTGAAAGTATTTGCTGCTTCTCAAATGCTCTAATGTTTTTAAGTGATGATATGAGTACTTTTTTATAGTCACTTCATAAATTGGCAAAAACTACAACTAAGTGACAACTTAATCACAAACCAAATAAAAGTGAATCATGTATCGCTCTATCGAACAGGCCAGAACGAATAACTTCTCACAAATGTCAATACTGTGCTCACACATAAACTCTTCATTTAGATATTTACATAAACTGCGCACTACTTGTAGCAACGCGAAGCAGTTCAGATATAAAAGCGGCTGTAACCGCCGCAAGTATTGTAGTATTACTTAGCTTTCCGAACAGTATTTCTACATACTTCTGATTTCTAAAATGGGCAACAATATCTGCTTTATTTTCCTCATTATTTTTGCAACCTTTACGGCTATGGCATTAGCACGTCCTCAGGATTCAGGTGAGTGTGGGAATATTATATCACTCTGTGCAGATTTATTTACATATTTATGTTCTTTAAGTTTCTTCATGCGGCCCAAATGGACAGGATACCTCATGCGGCTCCGCTTGTCCGCCCAGATGTGGTGATAATCCTTTGGAGTCTGCAGTTTGCATCGCAGTATGCGTCGCCGGCTGCCAGTGCAATCCAGGATATTTGCTGAACGATGCTGGTCGATGCGTGTTGAGCAGTGAATGTTAATGAAAATTTAGTCCTATTAAATAAAATAGCATACGGCAGTGTCTTCAAAATTATGTTAAAAAAGAGATTTTTCATATTTCATCATTTTAATTATAGAGGGTGTTTTTTGATGCAGTTACCACCTACTTCACACAAAAACAAGAAAAAACGTAAACTTCTGTTGCACCGAAGCTAAATACCCTTCACAGGTGAATCTCTATTAGTAACTATGTATTCAGTTTGTATGGAAGCTATATGCTATAGTAATCCGTTCTGAACAATTTTTATGGAAATTATACTGTTACCTTAATCCATGCCAAATTTCGTGAAGATACCACGTCAAATGCAAAAGTTTTCCATACAGGCCCTTGATTCCGATCATTCAGTTTGTATGACAGCTATATGCTATAGTGAGCCGATCTGAGCAATTTCTTCGGAGATTACATTGTTGGCTCAGAAAATAATCTATACCAAATTCCGTGAATATATATCGTCAAATGAGGAAGTTTCTCATGCAAGCATTTGATTCCGATCGTTCAGTTTGTATGGCAGCTATATGTTATAGTGGTCCGATATCGGCAGTTCCGACAAATGAGCAACTTCTTGATGAGAAAATGACGTTTGCAAAATTTCACAACCATATCTTAAAAACTGAGGGACTAGTTCGTATATGTACAGACAGACGGACAGACAGACAGACGGACATGGCTAAATCGACTCAGCCCGACATACTGATCATTTATATATATATTATGCTTTATAGGGTCTCCAATTCTTCCTTCTGGGTGTTACAAACTTCGTGACAAACTTAATATACCCTCTTCAGGGTATAAAAATTAAAACCTAATAAAATTACCCAACCACACTTCAATGTCGTGCTTTTGAAACGAATTTAATCATTTATAAAAACAGAAGTGTCGATGGTTTGGCTCAAATCTTTTCTGGATAGTAGAGTAAATGAGGTTTTTAGACAAGTTTCATTCTAATAGTCTAATTTCCCGAATAGTTAGTGAGTATTTTCTAAACTCTCCGAAAGCCATTCAGTTTTTCAGTATTACAAAATAACAGAAAAATTATTCAATAATTCTTTTACTGCTTTGTTTTCCGAACGACCATTAAACATGTCGTTTGTTCGGTGTAGCCATGTTTGGTTGACTGGATCCTGTAATAAACAGAATTGTCATATTGGGAGTGATGATAACTTGCAAGCTATTGCTAAGATACCGCTACATTCACGAAAAGGCACTGTGTCTACCACGTTCTGTATTAATTGCTTTGGGAATGCAAGAGTTGCAGCAAGAGTTTATCTTTCAATAATAAAATCGCCACACTGTTCGCCAAAATAATAATAATTAGATGACAAATTAACATAACTAAGTGCCAAATTTCATTTATCCTTAATTGAGTGAATTAGCAAATTTTCTGGGATACATATACAGGATGTATTGGGTAGTCGAAAAAGTCTTTTCGTATTTTGTTAATAGATCTCGTTGCAGTCGTATATCGCCAGTGCTACGAATCATGTTGTGTCATACCATACAGTGATATTTTAAGCTTCCCTTAACAGTACACAGTGTAACCTAGGCGGCATCGATTGTTGGCCCAAATGCAGTGATAATCCTAATCATTCGGCGGACACACCTTGCTCAGCAGCATGCGTCATCGGCTGCCAGTGTAATATTTGCCAGGATATTTGCTGAACAATGCTGGCGAATGTGTGACGAGAAGTAAATGCTAGTCAAAGCGAAACACACGGTGCTATCCTTAAAGTTATGTTTAAAACGAATATATTCTAATTTTATAATTTTTTTGTAGAGACATTCTGTGATTATTATTTTAAATAAATAATAAACAAAAAGTTAACTTCGCGTGTCTTTAAATAGATTTTTAGAATTTTTAAAAACAGAGTAATAGGAGGTTTTGTCTTATAATTTTTCGGCTTGTGGTATACATCTAAAGACTGCAGAGAAGTTACATAGCGATGTTCTATTTTCTGAGTTTGTCCAATTTCTAACAAGTTCTCTCTAAAATTACTTAATAACAGTTATAGAGTATATTGTCCCGATTTGTTATGTAAATATAGCTAATAAATTTATAAAGGTAATTATTTATTAAATGTACTTGCACTTTCCTGTCTTCTAGTTAGTTTTTTAGAGATATTTTCTGGTCTCCAAAAACACAATTTTTTTCATCAACACATTTTTTTAACTAAGCCTTCTTAGCTTATTTGCATGGGACTACTTGTTTCACGAAAGAAATTACTCTACATTTTTAAGTTTTTAGAACACCCGGCAAAGGATAGGTTAAATTGTGAATTCTAGTAGGAATCTCACTCGGACAGTTTAAACCGCTCATCCATTACACAGTCCAAAAAGAGCTTCGAAACCACCAAGAATGGGTAAGATGGATAGTATCAGTTTCGGCTGATTCCCCGAATGCATGACTACTGAGGTATTTCGGTTTCAGTCTTGCAAGGGCTAAAAATGGAGGAAAAAGTATCTATGAGCAACATTACTAAGAACAAGCAGTTCAGAAGATCTCCTGTATACTACACTTGTGTCTAGTGCAAAAGGATCTTACGGTCGCACGGTTTGCCAGCTCAATCGACGCTGTGCTGTCGGTGTGAATGCTAATCTCCCTAAAAGAAGCGGCATTCCGAAGCAGTCAGTCTAATGACAGTCACTTCTGCCTAAAATCACTACAATGATGAGATAGCTGAAAGTTAAGTGTGAGGCAGAGTTGCTAACAGAAGTCTTCCCCACAAACTTTTCGTCCTAGCTACGAACCATCCGTAAAACGGCTGAATGTGCATCTTCTCCAGCGACTTCTTCCCGCCTTCCCGCTCAAACAAAAAAAAAAAAAAAAAAAAAAAAAAAAAAAAAAAAAAAAAAAAAAAAAAAAAAAAAAAAAAAAAAAAAAAAAAAAAAAACGTTTTTACGAGCAGCCTCTGTGACATTAATTTCAAGTTTTCAGGGATGTAATTAAAGGAGGAAAGAATTTCAAAGTTAAAAAGCTTATCCCCCTTCATATACCCGGAAAACTAGGGTACTAAAAATAATTTTTATTAAATGCTGGTTCCAAATGCCTAAACATGTATCACCAATTTAATAATAATACTCAAATAGTCTTACTCCAAGTCTAAATGTGATCTTGACTTAGAGTATAATTAAGCATATGATCGTAATGTGATAGCAGTAACTCTCCCGCTAACGCTGTCTGCTTTGCGATCAGCGAAAAAACCCGTTAGGTCATAAAAACAGCATCAGCTATGGTCTGGAAAAGATAAGCACTCAATCGCTTCGTCGCAAAAACTTTCAATAGGCGATAACTGACGAATCACAATGTAGATTAAATGCGCCGTTAGAGAACTTTTGAACACTATACCTTTTCTGAGAACTGCTTTCACTTTTTTCGTTGACAGCTCTGATTGTTTAACAGGTCATTAAATCATGTTTTGTGGTTGAAGCCAATTATCTTCTGCTTTATAGTCGAATTATGAACAAAATGTGCAATTAAGCAAATAATTATAACTATAAATAAACATTAAGTGGGCGTCATACAAGTGCTTATGTACATATGTACTTGTAGTTGTTGTGCTTCTGTGATTTACATTTCCCATTTTGAATTGTAAATCACACTAAAGGGAATTAATCAAGTAATCTTGTCAATGGGTGTGAAAATTATTTTGAATTTTTTCATTTTTTCTACAGTTATTTGTTTTGCTGGTTTGTTATTAATTGTGTTCAAAGTAAAACACCCACAGTTTTTAATTATTATTGTAAATATGCGAACAATAATGCTCTCATGAGATTGTACTTGCGGTGATTTGACTGAGATTTAAGACGAAGTTTATATTAATTAAGGTATTCTAGTTTAGAGTCTCCCGAATTTCGAGCAATTATCGACAATGGATAAAAAAAAAAAAACAATTGAAGTATTTGTTTTAATTTTTTGGAAGGGCTAACTTCGTTTAAATCAAAAATTTTATATTCTTTCCACTTCGATCAAAGCCATCTTCAGGTGTTGGAAAAATTTTATATTAAAAAAAAAAAATAGCGAAATAATTCATCATTGATTATTCGAGGAAATCGTTAATGGATATTTGGTATCTTACTAACTTATATTGAAGGTATTGGACCTACTTAGTGTTATTCAGATATTTTAATTATATAAACGAAAATTATACTCAAATTAAAATGCTAAATTTTATATGTGGAGTTAATGTGGAGAATATCAATAGGAACGCTACAAAAATAGACCGATAGGGACAGCAAATGACGCCATATTTTTTCATACACTTTTGACATTTCTCTTTAGTAAAGTTTACCATTTCATCATGGAAAGATTTACGATCCATCAATAACTGAAATCTACTATCGAAATACGGAGTTAGTGGCCTCAGCTTTAAGAGCGCTACTTTTAATATATGGTGGTCATAATCTTCCTGTCAGATCAACAACAGGCATCTAGTGGAAAATGTGTCGAGGATATTGCTGCCGCTAACGCTTCAATTGAGGAAGACCCAAATCAGTCTCTCAAGCGTCGTTTTCAAGCGTTGGGCATCACTGTGACGTCGTTGTGGCAAATTCTGTGAACAGTTCTTGGCCGACATCCTTACAAGATCAATTTGATGTAAGAACTGAAGCCGCTTGACCACCAGCATTGTCATATGTTCATGAATTAGGCTGAGCAACAACTTGAAAATGATCTGGATTTTCATCGAGAAATCATCTTCAGCGCTTGAGGCTCATTTCTGGCTAAATGGTTTCGTCAATAAGCAAAATATGCGTCATTGCTCAGACAGCATCCACACGTACTCCATGAGTCACCATTGTATCCCGAAAAAGTTACAATTTGGGCCGTTGTTCACCCGTTATGATCAAGACCGGCACATTAGTGTGAATGGGAATCGCAACCGTAATGATATCCAAATATTTTTGGCCAAAATTGGATTATGTTGACTTAGACAATATGTGGTTCCAACAGAACGGTGCCACAAGCCACACAGCAGCGAATGTTACGATCGATTTATGGAAAACCACGTTTGGTGAATCTGTTATCTCACGAATGGCCCATTCAATTGG